GTGTGAGTGTGCTTAATGCCACCGAACCGCACACTTAGGACGGTTAAAATGGTAGAGTTTGTTATGTATATTTTACCACAATTTATACAGAGAGAGAGAGAATCAATTCTTCCTAAAATAATGTATAGGGTGGGGGATAAAAAAGTAAAATAAAATAATCCACAAACATAATGTGATTCCCACCCCGCCCAAACAAAGATTTTAGAGAAAGCAAGACAAGCTTAGTCTGAGATTTATAAGGAAAACTAAGCCAAACAGCCAAGAAAACTGTGAAAAGCGGGGATGCCCAGGGAGACCAGCCCTGCCTCATAAGAAAACATGATAGGGCCACAGTCATTTTCAAAGTTATGTCATGAACAGAGATGGCAGAGCTGTGGAAAAACCCAGAATGTACAGAAATAGGCCCAGACCCAATTGTGATCAGGGTGGCACTATTTTTAATTGGAGAGGAAGAGAGAAATTATTCAGCAAACAATGCTGGGACACCCGGATATGTACCTAGGAAAAGATAGTGTTGGCTCCGTACCTCACACCTTCCCAAAATAAATTCAAAGTGGACCAAAAACTTGACTGTAGACAACGAAAGCACTAAAGTAGCAAAAGAGGCCACAGGCGAGGACACGAAGCTTCAGGACGGGACACGGCCTTCCCAGGCGAGACGTGAGACACAATGAAGAAGACGGAGCACACTGAAAACAAGGGTCTGCACGGCCCAGCTTTCCCAACTAGTCAAAGATAAATGATAAACGACAACCTGGGAAAAAATATTTCAGCACAACTCACAGAGAACTAACTGCTCCAACATTGATAAACAGCCCAGTAGAAAAACAAGCAAAAGATACGGACAGTTCAGAAAAGCAAAAACAAATAGCTCTTTTTTTTTTTTTGTCTTTTTTCGTGACCGGTAACGGGATCGCAACCCTCAGTGTCGTNGGCGGGAGCGCCGCTGCGCTCCCAAGCGCCGCACTCTACCGAGTGCGCCACCGGGCCGGCCGGACAATTAGCTCTTAAACATATGAAAAGGTGATTCACCTTCCCTTATACTGAGAGAAACATAAACTGAAATTGCTCTGAGAAACCAGTTTCCCCAATAGACTGGCAAAGAGGCACGGGGCAGGGGCCCTGGGGACAGCATCTCCCTACCTGGAGAGTAGTCTGGAGGGCAATTTTGCAATATCCAGTCAAATGAATATTCTGCTTCCAGGAATCTCTCCTACTCACATATGCAGGGTGATGTACAGGCCGGGTGTCTCACTACAGCATTGTTTTCATAATAGCAAAAAAAGGTTAAGTGTACTGTCCGTGTCTACCTACAGGGGACAGCCACACAACGAGGGCCCCATGCGCTGCTCTGGAGGGCTCCCTGCAAGGCACGCTGTGACCTGCCAGCCTGTGCCTTGCCATTTGTGTACTGGAAAAAAAGGGGGGCGGGGAAGGGAGAAAAAGAAAAAGACAGAAATATGTCCCAGGGAGCAGCCCTGGAAGGGCTTCATGAAAGCCAGTACCAGTGGCAGCCTCTGGAGACAGGACGTGGGGGCTGGAGCTGCCAGAAACTTCGACCCCATCTGAATTCTGAATCCTGAACGTATGAACCTTTCTACAGTAAACTAAATTTTAAAATTAAAAATTTAAAATAACGGGCCGAGCCTGTGGCGCACTCGGGAGAGTGCGGCGCTGGGAGCGCAGCGACGCTCCCGCCGCAGGTTCAGATCCCATATAGGAATGGCCGGTGCGCTCACTGGCTGAGTGCGGTGTGGACAACACCACACCAAGGGTTGCGATCCCCTTACCGGTCACGTAAAAAAAAAAAAAAGAGACAAAATTTTAAAATAAAAGAAATAAAGATTTAAACAAACAAAGCACAAAAAACCCACTCTCATTCACCATGACAGAGAATCTCTCCTAATTTAAACCAGCGGTTATCAAGGTGTGGCCCAGGAATCCTCGGGGGTCCCCAGGATGCTTTCGGGGGACCTGCAAGGTTGAAACTGTTCTAGTGATAATCCTAAGATGTTGTTTGCCTTTTCCACGCCTGCTGCCTGGCGGCTCTGTGGTGTGACACAACAGCAGACAGGACACAGAAGCACGAGGCCACCCCACTGTCCCCTACCCACCCTGACACTGGAGAGCGCTGCAAATCATTAGCATCCCTCCTTAATTTTTTTTTAAGTAGTGACTTTTTAAAATAAAAATATGCTATCTGTGTTCATATTAATAGATTTGTAGCTGGCATTTTTCAATGCATATATATTTTTAAGTTTCTCAGTTTTAATTTCTTTTTTTTTTTTTCCTTTTTGTCTTTTTTACTGACCAGTAACGGGATCGCAACC